TTAGTTTAAAGCCCCTCCTGTACGAGTCCACCGTCAATTCATCAAAGCGCGACGAGGCGATGTATTCATCGACGGCCTTCTTCTTGGCATCCTCGATGCCTTGAGAAAATATTTGTGTCCACTCCCTAATGTCCTCTTGAAGGTATTCAACCTGATGTTGCAAATCCAGTCTCAGGTCCGCCATATGCTTCACCACAACTCCCATGGCCTCGGCATCTCTCTGAGACCTCGCCTGCCTGGCCTATGCTGCGCGAGCAGCCGCGTCAGCAGCTCGAGAAATTGCCTCGGCAGCACGGAAATCCCCTTCAACAGCTCGCGCCTGTCTCGAGCTCCTTTCCACTTGGGCCGCCAAGGCATGGATAGAAGAATTCACCTACCAAAAGGAAAAAACAAATGATCAAAAGAACGACGGCAAGAAGGATAAAAGCAAAGAGCCCGACAAGAAGTCTGACTTACCACCATGGCATGAGTGGCAGCACGACAAGCTACCTGGTTCAAAGGAAGCTCGGTCCATGCTACGACCTCCTCGAGATAGATGGCCTCCCTACTCTTCTGAAGAGTGTGGTTCGGCGACAACACGCTCCTGAACTTGCCTTGAGCTCCCGAGCCTGAGGGCCCAGCTCGCGTATAAGCAGACTCGGAGTAAGTGGGAGCCCCCATGTAAGTAGCCTCGGCATAAGGGGCCCCTGCTGCTTCATGTACTAGAGGGGCCATCTCAGGCTCCCTGGGTAGATCCACCGACGGGTAGTCTAGTACCTCGGACTCCGCATCTCGGGGCAGCGCGGCACGAGTTCGTTTGGCGACTCGCTTCCTCCTCTTCACGTCGTGAAATAGGTGCCCACCACGAGTCCTCTCTAAGTCCATCACACCTGCAAAAAGAGCTCGACATCAGAAAAAAAAAACGAAAAGAACAGAACAAAACAAAAGACAAACCTCTGAGTAAAGAACCTACCTGAACTCAGACCGGCCTCAATGAGTTTGGCCTCCGACAGATAATAATGGCATTTTAACCCAAGTCGTGCCCATTGCCAGAGGCCCTTCACCGTCTCCTTATCAAGCGTAACACCGGCGTCAGGGGCAGTCATCCCCCACTCGGTTTGGAACGGCCACCCCAATGCACTTTGCACCCCGAAGTAGTCCCGCTTCCACGCCAGGACCTTGTTGAGAAGTTCATGTAAAAGCTTAAAACCCGGGCGAGGAGACAGGTAATACGCCCGCCTACGCCCGGGAAGGGGACCCACTTGCTTCTTAAGCATTAAAATGGAAGAGAAGATCTCCAGGTCTAAAGGCAAGCCCTGTTCGCAAAATAGGGAGATTGTCCCCACCAAGTTACGAATGGAGTTCAGGTGAAGCTGGCCGACAGTAACGCCGAAGTGGTTCATAACCTCGACAATGAGGTGGTGGAAGGGCAGGCGCAACCCCGCAACGAGCTGCTCCCGGAATATCACGATCTCATCAGGACGTGTTCCCAAGGGAAACTGCCCAAGGGTATGAAGTAGGTGTACTCCCTAGGCAAGTTGAACTGGGTAATAAGAGAGTGAAGCCCCTTAGGCATCATGTTCGAGGGTCCAAACTTGTCTAATGTCCGACCTCGATGAGAGGAGGACGCCAAACTACCCGAGGCGACTCGACCTACGGATTCGAACTCTTCCTCAAGCTCTACCTCCGGTTCGATAGGACTATCGGGGGATGCAGCTCGGTTCATAGAACCTGCATCTGACCCCCTTGAAGAACTGTCTGAGCTATCCGAGCTAGACATCGGGAGGAGAAGATGGATTCCAGGAAAGTACTCACCCGGAAAAAGGCTTGAACGGACTACGGGAACTTGAACGCGAGCTAAAAGCTTGAATGCGAGCTAAAGGCTTGGACGCGAGCTGAAACTTGGATGCGAGCTCAAGAAGCAAAACGCAGAAGTGACAAAGCGCCTGGGGTCCCCCACTATTTATACCCACAGTAACCAAAAATCAATGATTCTGATCAAAGCATATCCGACAGCCCGCAGTCACGCTGACCGCACATTTCCTGAGACCGAGACGTGACTGGCCGCACGTCTCCCGAGGCCGAGACGTGACTGGCCGCACGTCTTTTGAAACTGAAAGAGCGTCAGCACACGTCACCTCGCATTAAAGGCGGTTGCGGCGCGTTTTTTCAAATTTGAAAAGATGCCCGTTGTCACGCCTCCCAGCGGCGCGCTATTTTGAATTTTGAAAAAATGCGCGTTGTCACGTCTGCCAACATTTATAGGCAGATTGGCGCGTTTCCCGTCTTTTTGGCGCTCGAGAAACCTGAAAAAATCCTGACAACGTGCACCTCGCTCTATCAGTCAACCAATTCGAAGTACGGGACAAATCCACCCGCCACCTCGCAAACTCCCCGCGCCAGGGCAAGACCCTTAGCGCGAGGAGTGGGGGGCAATTGATGAAGGAAGATTTGGCCCGACCTCGTAACCACTCAACACGTGGCAAAGGCAACAGCTCGGCACAAACAGCACGCCAAGGCGCAAGCTCCGAAAGGAGGAACTAGTGGTCCAAACTCTCTGCAAGGAGCCCGAACTCCCCGTAAGGAGCCCAAGCTCTCCCTTAGGCCTCAAGCCTTACGAACACAAAGGGCAACAACCCGAACTGGCCTGCCCCATGGCAGTTCAGGCCACACCTCTATCCGAACTCGAGACTTAACCTCGCACACCACTCCAGCACTTCGCCTCCAAGACGTCGAACTAAACAAACCGCACCGTACCTAACACCGATGGGGTCCATATCTAGGGGCGGCGCACCTGACTGACTTGGGATCTGACGCTTGACAGCCGCACTTCAACAGCCACCTGCCACCGCCACCTGCCACCGCCATCTCCAGTTACAGAGACGGCTCCGACAAAGAGAACAATGGCGATTCTGCCCCAGCAGAGGTGATGACACCCGAACTGGCAGAAGCACAGAAGTAATCATACCCGACCTGACAGAAGCTTAGGAGTGAGTGCGCGAAGTGGTTATAAAAGGCTCTCTACCCCCCAAGAACAAGGTATGTGAACTTTGCGCCATCTGGTTTTATCTTGCCTTTGAGAGAGTACTAACTTGAGCTTCGGAGCAATCTCATCGGGTTCCTCCCCGGAGATTCCCCACTTTCTTCTCCGTTTCAGGCCCCCTGTTGCTCCAGTCAGAGGCAAGGTCGTTGACAGATAGGACTGGCCGGATTGCGCACCATCAAATATTAAACCAAAATTTGCTTTCTTTTCATTTACACTTCCATGCATTTGTACTAGTGCAAATAAAATTGTATTTATTCTCAATGTACAGGCCCTTGGTGTAAATAGGTATCTTGTCTTTATTCCTTCATGCTTTTCATTTTTGAATGATCATACTTAATTCTTCCAAAAAATATAGAATAGCTGATTTAAAATATAATAGTTGCATATGTTGTTTATCTTAGACCTTGATATTAGTATCTTCTACATTCTCATGAATGTAATATATTTTTAGATTAATCATACATTTTTATATTTATTAATTAATATTTTTTACTTAAGTAATGATAATATATTAAGGCTGTATTTGGTTTGAGGGAAAAAAGAAAGGAAAAGTAAGAAAACCTTTACAAGCCTTGTATAAGTTTTTATACCTTTCCCTTCATTTTCCTTCAAACCAAACATAGCCTAATGGATTTTTTCATGTAATTTGTAACAATGTAATATATTGCCTTGGACTCTTGATTGACACATTATTAGTAAAATTATTGTATGATATCTTTATGTTCCAGTATATAAGTATTTTTTTATCCACAAGCATGTCAGTATGTTTATATAATGCAACTTTATATTAATTATTGAAATATGTATTTCTTATGTCTTTATATATTATTAATTGCAAGGTTCAAAATATCAACATGTATTGACCGATACATATCGTTCTGGGACCCCTCCAATATGCCCCTATAGTGGGTGTATCCGGGGTTTGACTGGTTCAGGGGGTGGAAGAGCCCTAAACCAGCCCCCCTGAACTGGTTTCAGAAAAAAAATAATAAAAAAACAGTATCGATTCGTCCAATTCGCCTTTATCGACATTTCAGGCGTATCGATATTTTGAACCTTGATTCATTGTTGTTACTTATAATCTACTCAACTTTAGTGTTATCAATGTATATGTTGGATTAGTGAGTATTTTTTAATACTTGAATGCAAATCCATATCTTTTCACCATATCCATCCATACGAGCAGATTATAATATGTATGATGTATCCATTTCTAACCTTAATGACAGACTTTGCAATACCAATATTTTGAATCTTTCCGTGCATATCCAACACATATTGCAATATGTATCCTAAAATTGCTTTATCAATACTCTTTGCAACTTGATGGCAACTAGAGAAAATTTCTTGGCATACAAACAATCAAAACAAGCCTTCGAACTACACTCGTCTAGGATAATTACTGGGGACGTGCCCCCTCCCCCGGGTGCAATAGAGGGACTGTCAATGGGTTGGATCTGCCAAACAGATACCCAAACTGACCAAACCAAATTATAACAGGTTTTTGGTTCCTTGATTTTGTCCCAATTAATAATTGGGTCTCTTCCAGTTCTTGCCTGCCCCCAACCAATTCATACCCAGAACCAATTATTTTATGTGAAAATTATGACTTACCACACTTCACAATATTTTCTTAATTTTCTTATAATTTTTATCATATTTTATATTTAAAATGATAAATCTGATAAATAATAAATAAGATAATATTAATTAAAAATGTTTAATTTATTAACATATAAATAATTTAGTATTTTCCTATTATTTTATTAAGGTCATATTATCAAATTTAAATTTTAAACTATTATTTAAATAAACAAATATAGCATTCACTTTTCAGTGCAATAACGTCCATCAGATCTGGACCGATTGACCTGACTATTAACAAGGACGGTTCGGGGTTTGATTTTGTTACAAATAATAATTGGTTCAAGACTGGTTGTACCAAGAGCCAACCCATTGACAGCCCTAGAACTCGTACTCAAAATACAAACAACACGAACACGTTAAGAAAAGTGTGTTTATACCAGTGATAATGTTCATCTTTCATGATGCGACTATAAAGACCATCCATTACACGTCTTTAATTCGTACAAAGAAAAGGTAAATTTCTAGGCATGGAAGCTGGATCCTGTGAACGAGTGCAGAGTTTTAACTGTGAGAGAGTTAAAATCAACCACCACTTCTGGTGGACATTTCACAAGGCAAAGCAAGATTGATTCTCACTCTTTCAAGTGCTCATTGGCTCCGGACTATTTAACGAGAGAGTGTCGAGCAACGAGTTCTGGGGTTCCAACTCCTCGTGCCATAGTGGAAGGGTGTCCCCTGGGTAGAAGTTCCTTGTCACTCCCTCCGAGTTTATCTGCAGAAACACCAGCGCGCACATGGGACATAAGCAACAGGTAACAAAATCAGGATAACTAGGCTCTGCATACACAAATGGTGGAAAATTAATGGGTATTTAGTTTTTGTGTGCCCGCTGTGTTTTGGGGAGCACAGAGAAAAACCCTCCATGTTTTGAAGGGGAAAGAATTACCTCCAACAATGCAAGTTAGAAGCGCCCTCATTATAATGAAATACCCAAGAATTTATGCATAAGTGGGATAAATAATTGAATGGATGGTTCTGCCATTTTAAGTTGGATTTGTATTTATTCTGAAAAACTTCTCGTGGGGCTTATGTTGCCAATATGCAGTGAAAAGATAACATGAAACTCACAATGACAGTTCGCACAACACCTCCACTTGCACCATCTCGAGCAATGGCAAGAGAGACGGCTTTCACCACTAATTTCTACAAAATAGAAAACCAAAAAACTTTTAGAATTGGTGCTCAAATAAAATATCAAGCATGTGAACACCATTTTGTGCTCAAAAGCAACTTAGAAAACATGATCAAACCAAATACAGCTAATCAAATTGTTAGCACAGTATGTAAAATTCCTAGAAAATATAATTTATTTTTTTCTAGGTAGACTACCTTTAACCATAAGTGATCTGTTTCAAGTTGAACGGGCTAGAAGGGCTAGGAATAGACCAAAAAGGACATGGGTCGAAGTAGTAGTAGGAAAAGATTTAAGCACTCATAATCTAACAATTGGCATGGCTTTAAACAGAACAGAATGGAAAATTCATGTAGCCAACCCCATATAGTTGGAATAAGGCTTGGATGATGATGAAACTACCTTAACAGTGGGCCTTTTTAAGATGCAGCATGCTGAAATTAGTCATGCGGTGAGGAACCAAATCAATGACAAGCCATTTCTCAAGGCTAGCCAGGTCAAAAAGTGGAGCAGGTATGGTTAATCAAAAGTTGCCATGTCATTTCTCACCAACCATCAACTCTCCTTTTGAACTCTCTTATTCCAACCCTCCTCCCTTTATTAATCACCACTAATCATGCCATCAAGTGTTGACCTGCAGACACCAATTCTTCTCTCTCTCTCTCTCTCTCTCTCTCTCTCTCTCTCTATATATATATATATACATATCAGTAACAATATAAACATTGTGCAAAAATAATTGCATTACAGATCAACTCACCTTAGGGTCAATCTGAATTGAGCTTTACTTTCTGAAGATAATTTGAATTTTGAAGACTTCCCTCAGCATTTTCCAATACATCCAAGGTCCCACACTTCCATGTTCTTCACCCAAGCAATTACAACCAGTCTCATTCAATCTGTAGTCCTTCATATTCAAGTGACTTTACTAGCCCAAGACCATGTAATCACTGCCTATAATAGTACTTTTTGTTTTCTTCTTCCTTTTCAAGTGACTTTACCTGCAGACACCAATTCTGCAGACACTTAACCTGCAGACACCAAATCAAGTGATTGCAGGTCAACACTTGACCTGCAGACACCAATTCTTCTCTCTTTTACTTTAAATTATGTTTGTATAATCTTCTTTCCGATTACTTTTAAATGGGAACCAGGTTTAGCTATAGAATTCTTTGATTATGATCATGATGCCCAGATATGGATACAGATAGAAAATGGGAATACAAGTGACCATTTCCTAAAATCCCAAACATGGATATGGGTTGAGTCTGGATCTGCTAACCACAACACATTGATGGCCACATTCACCTAGCCACACATTGGAAATATCGGTGATATAAAGTACAAGAGATGTTCCCAATGTGTGGCTGGGTGGATGTGGCCAGCAATGTGTTGTGGACAGCAGATCCAAATTGCATGTATCCCATATAATATGTTTATATCAATGCTTTTATATATAGTTTTTGAAGTTGAATGCCAATTCTCAATACCAACTTCTTGCCAATTCTGATTAATTTTCTGGATGTACAGATCTTTTTTTATCAATTACTATGAAATTTTATTAAATAAGTGCAATGAGGCATAGAAAATGGGAGAGATAAGCTCTCTTAGTTATCCCCTTTTAAACTCTCAAATAAGTTACAGTTGAGCCCAATATTACTTGATCTCTACACACCACTTATTTGTCCAGTACATCAGTAAAGGAATTAGTAGTTGTTTTAATCCATTGCAGTCTTACTTCCATATCTTGTGTCAGCCATTTGAATCTCTTCATTTCATTGTTATAAATCCACAAACCAGCTTCTTCCTTTTGCAACCACTCCACCACCAGCTTGGAGTCTCCCACAAACCAGCTTCTTCCTTAGCCCTCTGCACCCCTTCCATTAAAGCCATAATCTCAGCGCTTACAGAGTCACCTACACCAATTGGACCTGAAAAAAGAGCAATTATTTTCCCCTCCTCATTTCTGAAAACACCTCCAAGGCCTGATTGCCTGAAGGACCCGGGCTCCCTGTGCTGCTACCATCAAAGTTCAGTTTGATAAAACCATTAACTGGTGGAGACCAATTGGGGTTTGTGACAGACTTAAAAGGTGCTGAACCTGCCACTTCCTTCCAGCTTTTAAACAAAACAGCTATTGGATGTACAGATTTTTTTTATAATACAATTTGTAACAATTTACTTATCTGTTCATCTAGGCATCCATCCATCTGAATGAGTTGTTCAGCCTATAAGCCAAGGCCACTGCCTCTTTAATATGATACCCATGGAGCCATGGGAAATCTGAGTTGGTTGAGAACCACCAAATCATTACTTTGCAACTACCTTTCAACTAGCAAAGAATTCCTGCCCAAAGAGATCCAATTTTAAACTTAGAAGCAGTGATAAGATCTCACATCTTAATGCATTTCTTGCCCTAATTGGTCCTGAGTGTCTCAAAGGAATGTCTCCTGAGGTATCTCCAAAAACACCACTTGCACCTGAAGGACTTGGGTTACCAATAGAGCAGCCATCAAGTTGTAGCTTTATTCCTGTTTTCACCTATCCTTCTATCGTTTATCTTTTATGTGGTATGTGGAACAACTCTCAATTATAACTAGATCAATGATCATATTGGGAGTTTATGTCCCAATATTCAGCATCTAAACATACAAGGGCTAAATATATGTTGTTTTCATTTTGTTAATGCAGATGAACTTGTCATTTTCAGTTACTCTCTCTCAAAAAAGGGCTAAATATATGTTGTTTTCCTTTGAACTTGTCATTTAAAAAGGAAAGTAGTATTTTTCTAGTTGGATTAACTAGTACTAAAAAGTATACGAAGTCAATAAAGGCATCAAATAATACTACCAACTAATCCATAAAACAAGACATAAATAAATGAAAGGAATAACAATGGAAACTTTTTTCAAACATCAAAGACTATATATCTACATACCTCAGCTTCATCTTTAGACATTCCTTCCCTCCAAGCTTGATCAAAGAACCCATACAAGTAACTGGAACCAGATCCTGTTAAACACAAACTAGTCTTTAGGACCATAGCAATTTCTTTTGTTCTAAAATAAAAATGTTTATTAAAAGAAAAGAGAGATTACAACAGTGACAAGAAATCACCTGAGAGAAGAATAGAAAAACTAATTACCCAAACAACACCAATACCA